GCTTTGGGGAGATCTCAAATGTGCAGGTTATGCACGACGACCTAAGAATTTGCAGGAGCCGGAGGCATTTTGGAAGGAAGAATGGGCAGCTGTACCACCTGAGAGAATTTGAGGCCTCATAGACAATTATCACAAAAGACTGCATGCTGTTATCGATGTTAACGGGGATAAAACACAGGGATAAGAGCCAATGGTGGGCACACTTTTGAACAGGGTTCATTTCATTTTTTTCCCCCTTATTGCCATGTTTATTTCATGATTGTGCCATTTCACATGACCTACAGTTGGATATGAGTCCAATAAGAAATTTAAGAAATGTTTTGCTTGGCCATTCATGTTTTCTTTGAACAAGAGCCATCAGGAGATGGCATATCCCCCCGGTCCCACACATTGAAGGAATGAAATGCCACCTGCTCCGGAAACAAACCATACCCCCTAAAATTCTAAGTTCAAAATGTTTCCATGGAAACCGGAAAAAATACAAAATTGATCAACTTCAGATTAGCAAAAGGCACCACTTCAGGTTATGATTAATGTGCACACCAAGTTTTGTCGAAGAATATTGAACGGTTTTCAAGTTATACTCTGGAAACGAAATGTTCACGGACGGATGGACGGACGGATAGACATCCACACCCATGACTTTATGCCCTTGCATTATATGCCGGGGGATAATAATAATAATAATAATGTTACCTATTTTACAAATTAAGCCAGGGTATGCAAACTTTAGAGCACAACTGTATATATAGTGATAAATTTGGAGATATAATTCTCCTGACTGAATAAAATCAACCTCAATTTTCAAGGAGAACAATCTATCAAGTGTACAGAAATTAATTTCAGAAGTCCAGCTCTATAGGCCTTGTTCCACATCCTCAGTCCAATTAAATATTCAAACTGTGTGCTTGAGAGGCTTTATGATGGGTGTTAAGCTTCTGCTTTGTATTCCTTGGCTCTTAATCAGCGATATTGCCAAAGCTGGTCCAAATAGGAGTCATAATTCCAAAGTTATTGAGCATTAAAAAAAAATTCTGTAAAATGGCAGATTTTGCCCATATAAATTTAAAATTATTTATGAGACAATATTTAAAAAATGTGTTGGAAACAAGTCTCATCAGTGTATAAGATCTGATAATTTCAGCCACATCTGAGACTGGGTTTCAAAACCTTGTTTCTTCAGGTAACTTGACACAGAGTACCCCAGGTGTCAGTCATTCCCGTATAATACTGAGGATAGTCAATCAGGAACTCCTAGCTATTTTGTAGTGCAATGACATGCAGATTTTGAACAGGTCAGTATGGCAGCTTTATATAAACAAAAATAAATATGAGGATCTCTCTTACAGGGATGGCTGGATTTGTTGCAATTGTGGGCTATGGCTTATACAAACTGAAGAGTCGGGGGAACGCAAAGATGTCCGTCCATCTCATCCATATGCGTGTGGGTGCTCAGGGATTCGTGGTGGGAGCAATGACAATTGGTAACTCCTTATATTATTGTGCCCTAATGAAGTTCTAGAAAAGGTTACTGCTCTGCCGTCAAATGCAAAACTATTACAGCTGGAGGATTTCTTTTGCGCCAAATATGTATTCTGTATGATACACCATTCGATGAGCTGGCAAAATTCGATGCCCTAATTATAAAGTGAAAAAATACCAACCAAATGGTATGGATTGAGGTTGTAACTGGTGATTAGGTGTGTGGTATCTGGATGTCAAAAACTGGTAAATCTAAAATTTGATAGTTTTGATTTAAGATTTATTGATCGCTTAGCATATGTATATGTTTTTAACTGAGGGGAAATTAAGAAACTTTTTCTCCAGAACTTCGTGTGAATTTTCTTGTTTTAAATGTGTGTAATTTTAGGCTGCTATTAAGGATTAAAAAGTATTTCCTGTAAATTAAATCCTTAAGTTCTGTACATAATATCTTGTTTTGCTTCTGTATTGACGTTCACGTTTTAACACTTGTTTTCAATATGTCTCATTTTACAGGTGTTATTTACTCAATGTACAGAGACTACATTGTGAAGCCCAGAGAAGAACAGAAAGCCCTGAAAAATCAATGAAAATGTTCACTGGCATTGTTATTATTGTATTGGATTCTTCATATGACGCCTAATTTTAAGGTGTCAGGTTTTTAATTTATTCTTGCTATCAGTGCAATTCATATGTACTTGTGATGGTATATTCATTGCACTGGTGACCTTTTAAGTATGTTTTTAAAATGCACCTTCTAGTCATATATCATTGCAATACAATGAGTGGCCTTGAAATGTGAAAGCCAATTTGCAAATTTTTATGCTGTGCTTTTAATTTTCTACTGTGAACTTTAGGGTAGACCTACTCTATCCATTAACTTCAGAAACAGTTTACATGGACTGATGAGGGAATCTGCATTGCCCATTGAAAAGTGCATTAAGGTATGCAGCAGCTGGGTGTAAAAGGTGGAAATAAGTTCTAATTTCAAAGTTAATTTGGCTTCAGCACAAATAATTGGGTCCGTTGTCTAAATGCTTCTGTCTTCCCAGGAAAGGTTCTGAAGTGGTATAATTGGTATTCTGTACTGGAGAGATACACTACAGGCCAAAAGTTTGGAAGCAAGATCAAATTTGTACAAATAAAGATCATAATTTCATTGGCATACTTTGCAATAAAATAAACATGATTATTATATAAAAAGTCACTTAGCAGAACACATATTTACTCAAATTATCAGGCCCGTATTATTAGGCCCACAGTCCTAGTGCCCTCCGTATTTCCGTTGACATCCGGTGGGCTGTTAACCATGACATAAAGTGAATAATGCAAACTGTGATTTGTTTTTTACTTTTTCACTGAAGTTGTGACTCTTGCAAATCTTCTCAACCCAAGTACTAAGCCCCTCCTTTCTTTTGTTAACATTTATTCAGCAATGGTCTGGTAACATCAATGTATACAGTACCTAAAGGTAAATAGAGGAAAATGGTGCATATCAATGAAAGAAAAGTCTAATCATGCAGTAAATACATCTCAAAATCCATAGATTTCATACTGGTTTTTAAGAAAGGCATTGTGAACAGAAACTTGAAATTGCTTCCAAATTTTTGACCTGTATTGGCCTTGCTTCCAAACTTCTGGCATGTAGTGTAAGTCTGTTTAAGTCCGTTTTTTTTGTAATCCAGCCATAGCATTTCAAATTGCCACAAACACAGGGTGAATGATCAACTTTGACATTTAGAATTGGCATCTTCACAGTCATTTGTTGATTGAACTTTATGTAACTCGCATCATTCAGAATTTCTGATGGTCATGGTATTCAGTGTTTAGGCATTGTGCAAGTTTAAGTCCATTTAATTGTGTTGAAAATGATTATTAGGTTTCTGAATGTCAGGAAAAATGGTTATTTGTTTTTTGTAGGTAAATGGGCTTCTTGGATGGGGGAAGTTGAAAGATTATAACGTGTATTAAATTTTATTCTCTTCTTTGAAACGCTTTTGTTGAATTCATTCAACACCGCCCCTTAACATCGAAGCGATGAGTAGATTTGAAATCTCATGGTACTGAAAGGTAGATGATCTCAGAGTCTGATATGCCCAGTTAAAACCTATTTGAGTAATACTAGTTAGTTGGTTACTCTCATTGCGCCCCACAGGACACTTGAGGCTATCCAGAATATTTTTTTTTTACCCTTCACAATCTGCTGCGGATGTTGTCATGACCCCCCATGACCCCCATCCCAACTCTTCCCACTCTCTCCACACATTGCCTCCAAGTCATTCGTGGTCTACCCTGTTTTCTGCCTTCTGGTGCCCAGGTCAGCGCAGTTCTAGCAATGCTACTGCCATCTCTTCACAGGATGTGGCCAATCCAGCTCCATCTGTGTGTCTTGATCTTTCCAGACAGTGGCAGCTTGTTGGTCCGACTGTACTGTTCCTCATTCAAGGTTTGATTTGGCCAGAAAACTCTTCAGTATTGTTCTCATGCACTTCCTGCGGAAAGCATCCAGTTTATTCATGTCTACGACTGTTGTTCTCCACGTCACTGCCCCGTATAGCAAAACGGCTATGATATTATTGTTGAAAATGCACAACTTGATTTTACAGCTATACTTGGAGGATCTCCATAGGGGCTATAGAATGACAAAAGCATCTCTTGTGAGGGCCAGTCTTCGTTTGATGTCTAATTCTGAGCCTCCATGTTTGTCCAGTGCTGCTCCAAGGTATGTGAATAGTTCAACATCTTCCAGTTCATTGCCACCAACAGTGATGGTTTGAATAATAACAATAATAAAAACTAGACAGTCCGGTTCCCCACGACCGCTTGGGTGTAGCCTCCGAAAGCCGGCATCTCCAGCTTGGACTGTGTCCACAAGGAAATCTCCAGGTTACAGCACAAATTTGTGCATTATTTGGCTAATAATGTCGCCATGGCAACCAAAATTGGTAGGTGTTATAACTGAAGTATAACGCATCCATACCAAATATGAACATAATTGGTCAAAAATTACAGCCTGTACAGCGTCCACAAGGAAGTGTCTATGGATGCAGCAGCGGCGGCGGCAGCGGATGCAAAAAGCATGAATCTATAGTAGCTGCCTGACTTTGTCCAGGGGCTACAATAATAGGCAGTATAATTATAGATGGCACGATGGTGGAAAGAGTAGCACTATCGCCAAACAGCAAGAAGGTTGTAGGTTTGAAGTCAGCCTGGGGCCTTCCTGTGCAGAGTTAGCATGTTTTTCTGTTTTTGAGGGTTTCCTTCAGGTACGTGGTTTCCTCCCACAGTCCAAAGATATGCATATCAGGCTAATTCGAGACTGTAAATTGCCCATAGGTGTGAGTGAATGGTGTGTGAATTGGGTGTGCGCCCTGTGATGAACTGGCGAGCTGTCCAGGGTGGGTCCCTGCCTTTCACCCATAGTCAGCTGAGATAGGCTTCAGCTCAACCGCAACCCTAGTGAGGAAAAAGTGGTAAAGATGATGATGGATGATATTATTATTATTATAGTAACAGGTGGTATAGTGGTGCAGTGGGTAGCACTGCTGCCTAACAGCTAGAAGGTTGCGGGTTTGAATCTGGCCTGGGGCCTTTCTGTGTGGAGTTTGCATGTTCTCCACGTGTTTGCGTGGGTTTCCTCTGGGTACTCAGATTTTCTTCCAGTCCAACGACATGCATATCAGGCTAATTGGAGACGCAAAATTGCCCATCAGTGTGTGTGAATGGTGTGTGTGCCCTGTGATGGATTGGTGAGCTGTCCAGGGTGTGTCCCTGCCTTTGGTGTACAGTCAGATGGATAGGCTCCAGTTCACCAGCGACCCTAGCGAGAAAGAAGTTGTATAGATGATGCAAATAATAATAATAATGTATAATCCAAACACCGAACTTTTGCTTCCTGGTTAGGAATTACGTATGGGCTTATTTTTGCCTGAACCTTAATACTGTCGGTGTTTGTGATAATGCAGTTGCTATGGGATGGATAACTACTCTGGAATATATATTGCCTGTCCAAAAAAAAAAAAAAAAAAAAGAAGTCGCGCACAATCATTTTTTCTTTGGCCACCTTTAGCTTTGATCACGGTGCACATTCATCATATTTTTTTCAACAATCTTATGCAATGTCACAACATCAATTTCCAACCAGGTCTGCTTCATTTTTGGGCAAGATATTACATTGATGATGGGCGAGTCAAACTACTCCATTCAGCCTTCAGCAGCGCATCCCAGAGACTTTCAATTGGTTCAGGTGTACACTCTGAGGTGGTCAATTCATGTGAAAATGATTCCTCATGCTCATTGATCCACTCTCACAATTTGAGCCCAATGAATCTTTGCATCATCATCCTGGAGTATGCCGGAGCCATCGGGGTTTAAAAGATCCACAGAGAGATGACTGGTCATTCAGTGTATTCAGGTAGTCTGCTGAATTCATTTTAATGCTGCAGAACAGTGCTGAGACTAGAACTCATCAATTGAAGAAATCCCAGATCATTGTGCAATAGCTTCATGGGCTTCCTGTATTATTTTGACGTGTCCATCATGCTGGAATAGGGTCAGTCTGGACTAATAAGACTACATGAACTTTTTCATCGCTCCTCAGTGCAATTTTTTAAAGCTTGAAAAAACTGAATGGCACGCACATCCTGACGTGAAACTAGGTGCAGGACAGATATGAATCCTCTGAAGTAAGTTAAAGAGTTCTCATGCAAGAGGGAGAGCTCCGAATGGAAAGTCAGTTTCTAATTTACTTTTATTTAAATTTGATGTTGGATGATCACTTTTCCATATTAGTGATGCTGTAGATAAAAAGCACATTTGAAGCACTGCGTGTTTATTTAAAAAAAATTTCAAAAGAACTTTGTATTTCACTAAATTCAGTTGATATAAATAATACGCCATGACTTAGCTCTGATCTCAACATCATCAAGGCTGCCTGGGAATACTTGGAGAGACAGACTCAAGTGAGACTGTGAGCCTGCAGAGGAACTGTGGCATATTCTCCAGTATGCTGAGAAAAACCAAACAGTCAGTAATCTTATGAAACTACAAAACAGCATACCAACGTCCCAAATTTTAAGGCAAAGGGTAGTCAGACCAAACATTGATTTCAGTTCGATTTTTACAGTTCACAGCACTTTATAGTGCATTTTTCAATTTTTAGAAACCTTTAATCTAATGATTTTTGGAAGTGTCTTCGCCTCACAGAATTGCGTGAGATGTGCCTAAAACTTTTGCACAGTACTGTGTGGACGGGCAGTGTATTTCTTCAGACAGGTACCAGGTACTTGCAACATCTCATGGTTAAAACCAGAGTTCCTACATACTCTTATCGAAAACGATTTAATGAAGTGGGCCTATTTCGGTCTGAACTTTTCATATGGCATAAAAGTGTTGGCCCACGGCTTTTTTCGGGGTTACAAATTCATAACTGTGCATTACAATAAATTGGCTAAGAAATTGCCACGATATTAACTCCATATCTGCATCTGAGATCCAAACAGTCAACCGTTGTCATGAGAACGACAGCGTCGGCTGGGTTCTCATGGGATGAGGAAGTGTTGTGTGACAACACACTGCGAAACGGCTTGCCAGTAATCTTAATTGTAACAAGTTTATCTGCCCTACATACCGAATGTGCTATCTCTAATCTGAAGACGATATCCAAAAGTTAATGACGACTGTATCACCGGGTAAGTGCAAACTGAACATGAACCAGGACAGACAGTAGAGAGCAACTCCGCTGACCAGCTAGCCATTATCAGAGTAAAGCTGCTTTCACACCGGACGCGAAACGAATTTTTCGCACGACAGATTACATTCAAAGTCAATGCAAAGCCGCGTGTATTCGCGTCTTTGCCTTGACTTTGAATGTAATCTGTCGTGCGAAAAATTCGTTTCGCGTCCAGGTTGAAAGCGGCTTAACGCTACCGTTTTCTGATTGTGAGCAAACAAGCTAAATTGCCAGTGATGCGTGCCTGTTATCTCTGAAGACCGATCTCTCTGTCATGGAAATAATAGCAACACTAGCTCACCAAAAGTGGCTTCTCCTGTTCACCTTGACGTCTGTAATGCGAGTATAATACTATGCTCGCATGCTAGTTGGCTAGATAGTCCAGCATGAAACAATAGCTTGCTAGCTTGTTAGACCACTGTCTGGTAAAGTTGACTTGCTGGCTTGCCAGTGCTCCTCCGAGGTTCAAACAAAAGTGCGATGCTGAATCAGAGCAAACTTCGAAAGGAGGTAAGGATGGAAATGGCTCCCTGGTGATACACCATAAGACCATTTAACTCTGCCCGATAACTCATCGAAAATATTCCGATATATGCAAATTTAAGGTTTATTGCACGATTTATTCGCCACCGCTAATTAAGAACATTTTACATTTGTTTGGCTGAACCATACTGTCAACTTTAAGGGTTAAGGTAAGGTGGCAAACTAATTGAAAAACAATTGAAAACCAAGTGACTCTTCGATAAGCAGCCTTATGGGTAATTTCCAAGTGGCTGTTCTTGAAGGAGGAGACCGCACTTCGGCAAAGTATATTTCAGCGAAAGTAGAATTCTTGAAGTGTCTAAAACGCATATTTTAATTTGATAATAATCCACTGCGACGCATTTTTAAACCAGCGAGTCTTCAAATTGGCTTCAATATCAGGGGACAGACATTTTTACTTGGGGAATCTTCTGATTTTGAATTTGAACTTCGGAAACCTCACCTTTAAATGCTTAATAACGTAAACCTCTTGCAGTCGAGATCTCCTGATTAACCGCAGTTGCTCAGACTAATTGATAAAAACCGACGACAGTCGAATTTACTTTTGATAACATTGTTATGTATTGCACCACAAAATTATGAGGCATCTTTTTCAGCGCATAAATGACGAGGTAAAATATCAATATGTCTTTATAATTTCAGCTCTTGTGTTGCTCGTTAAGCAGCGCAGATGTGCGTATATTATTTTGCCAGGCTGCGAGAATCCGTTCTATATTATGAATGTTGTCACAGCTAAAGGGCGCTGTAAGGCAATTTGCACAGCTGTGTGACAATCCTAAGGATGGTGAAAATAAATGCTGCAAAGTCGGCGAAAGTTTTGGATTTACAATGCCATATCATTATATAAATGTAGGCAATAGGAATTCACCTTTTCATTATCATTTCTAATTATACGTCATGTATTGGTTGCTCAGTTGATAAATTATTTGATTGTTAATCAGGCCAGCTTCAATAAAAACAGCTTGCAGGCAGCAAAGTCGTATAGGGAGAGCTTACTGAAGGCCCTTTGAACTACTCCATGGCCTGGATGAAAGGAAAGCGAACAACTGACGTCACAAAAGAGAATAACTGACGCCACAAGCACCGCGGCACTGGCGTTTGATTGGATAATGCGTTCAAAATGCACACTCACCCACTATATAGGGCACTATGTAGTGAATGTTGTACATTCAAAACAATATATGTGCAGGACTCATGGATGTATTATAATAACTGGAAACTGAACCGAAAATGGCCGCCCATTCATTTCAATGGAAATTGCTCAGTGGCGCAGCACGCCGACATGGGGCCTTATAACCGGAGTCACGTGGACATGCGCTGTGTGACTTTTCGGTACACATGCGTAGTGTGGGGCTCATGAACGCGCTGATGCCTGGGGTATCTATGACAACGGTCTGCGCCCGAAACACTCCCACACAGGACGCGTGTTTACGACCAATGTTCTCCGGAAATGTATGTCCACTGCGAAACCCTTGCAACAGCTCTGTACCGAACGGGCAAACATAGCACTTGGCTTAAATATAGTTTGGAAAAACAATTTATATACCTAATAGGGATATAAAATGTTGATGAACTATTTCTGATTAACAGGGAAATAAAATTATTCACTATCACAAACAGTGTCAGCAAAACAGTAGACCTTCTGTTCAATAAGATGACAGTTCAATCTCATTTTCCACACAGTTCAAAGCTACAACCCCAATTCCGAAATAGTTAAAATGTAAAATGTAAAATGCCTCAGTTTCAACATTTGCAATGTTTTCTCTATTCTATTGAGAATAAAATACTGGCTGGTGTGATCTGAAAGTCATTGCATTTTGATTTTATTCACAATTTGCACTTTGTCCCAACTATTTCGGAATTGGGGTTGTAAATGTATTCGTCGAAAATGAAACGTTTCAAGCTTGTTAGCTTGCAGCCTCCTCTATTCTTATTGGATTCAAGACGATAACCCAACTGCACAGAGCACTGCCTGTACGCTTCATGAACTGATAAGTTTTATAGTAGATGATGTTGATCAAAGTATTTAGCCAATTCTGACAAGTGAAATTGCTTTTAGTGTACGAATTCTCAATGCTCATTAAATCCATCCTTTCTCTATACTTGGAACTGGAGCCCATCCCAGCTGACTCGCAGGGTGCACGCACCATTCATTAGAATTTAATTTTAATATTTAATATCACAAATGCATTAACTGCGCATACTCTCGCAACCCAGTGTGTCATCCGTCACATAGCTGCTGCCGTTATATGCTATTACCATGTCTATCAGCATTCAGCACTAGAAATTAAACTCTAAATTTTCTTGACTAAATTCA